ACGTGAAAGATCTGTACTCTAAACCATGAGAGACTCTTGAATGCTGAGAACAAACTGAGGACTGATGGGGGTGTGGGGAAGGGGAAGGAGGGTGATGGTATGGAGGAGGGCACTTGTGGGGATGAGCACTGGGTGTTATATGGAAACCAACTTGACAATAAACTATTAAAAAATAAAAAAATAAAAACATTAAAAAAATAAAACTGATGAAAGGAATTGAAGATGACACAAACAAATGGAAAGAAATTCCAGGCTCATGGATTGGAAGAACAAATATTGTTAAAATATCCATATTATCCAAAGCAATCTATAGATTCATTGTGACCCCTATCAAAATACCAACAGTGTTTTTTGTTTGTTTGTTTGTTTTTTGTTTTTGCAAAACTAGCATAATTAATACTAAAATTTGTATGGAACCACAAAAACTCTGAATAGCCAAATCTATCCTGAGAAAGAAAAACAGGCCTAGAAGTATTACAATCCCAGATTTTAAGATATACTACAAAGCTGTAGTAATCAAAACAGTATGGTAATAGCACAAAAATAGACATATAGATCAATGAAACAGAATATCAGAATAGAGAGCTCAGAAATAAGCCCATGATTATATGGTCAATTACTCTATGACAAGGGAAGCAAGGATATACAATTTGCAAAAGACAGTCTCTTCAATAAATGGTTCTGGGGGAAGTGGACACCTACATGGAGAAGAATGAAACTGGACCACTTATTAACAATCTACACGAGGATAAACTCAAAATGGATTAAGCACCTAAATGTGAGACCTAAATTGTTTTTTATTTAAAATTTTTTTTATGTTTTATTTATTTCTGAGAGACAGAGAGACAGCATGAACAGGGGAGGGTCAGAGAGAGAGGGAGACACAGAATCTGAAGCAGCCTTCAGGTTCTGAGCGAGCTGTCAGCACAGAGCCTGACGCAGGGCTCGAACCCGCAAACGATGAGATCATGACCTGAGCCTCAGTCAGATGCTTAACCGACTGAGTCACCCAGGCGCCCCTGTGAAACCTAAAATTGTAAAAGTTCTGGAAGACAGCACAGGCAGTAGTTTCTCTGCATTGCTGTAACAACATTTTTCTAGATAGGTCTCCCCAGACAAGGGAAACAAAAGCAAAAATAAACTATTGGGACTACATCAAGATAAAAACTTCTGCACAGCCAAAGAAACAATTAGCAAAAACAAAAGACAACCTACTGAATTGGAGAAGATATTTTCAAATGACATATCCAATAAAGGGTTAGTATCCAAAATATATAAAGAACTGATACAACTCAACCCTCCAAAAAACAAATAATCCAATTAAAGAATGACAGAAAACACAAACAATCATTTCTCCAAAGAAAACATACAGATGGCCAACAGGCACATAAAACGATGCTCAACATCACTCATCATCAGGGAAATGCAAATCAAAAGTACAATGAGATAGTACTTCACACCTGTCAGTATGGCTACAATCAAAACCACAAGAAACAACAAGTGTTGGTGAGGATGTAGAGAAAAAAGGAAGAATCACACTGTTGGTGGAAATGTAAACTGGTACAGCCACTGTGGAAAAGAGTATGTAGTTTCCTCCAACAATTAAAAATAGAAATACCATACGATCTAATAATTCCACTGTTGGGTATTTACCTTAAGAAAATGAAAACACGAATTCAAAGTGCATACTCTTCTGTTTATTGTAGCATTGTTTACAATAGCTAAGATGTGGCAGCAACTTCAGTGTCCATTGAAAGATGAATGGATAAGAAAGATGGACTATTAAGCTGTCATAATAAAGGATGAGATTGTGCTGTTTGAGAAAACATGGACGGGCCAAGAAAGTATTATACTAAGTGAAATAAATCAGACTGAGAAAAACAAATACCATGTGATTTCACTCACATGTGGAATCTAAAAAATGTATGAACAAAAAAAAATCAGAGTCAGACTTATAAATATGGAGAACAAACTGATGGTTGCCAGAAGGTTTGGGGCTGGATGGGAGGATGGGAAAAATGGGCGAAGGGGAGTGGGCTTCTAGTTATAAAATAATTAAGTCAAGAGACTAAAAGACACAACATAAGAAATAGAGCCAATGATATTGTAATAGCAATGTATGCAGACAGATGGCCGCTATACTTGTGATGAACAAAGTATAGCATATAAACTTGTCAAATCAGTATTCTGTACAGCTGAAATTAATGTAACGATGTGTATAAAGTATGCTTAAAATAAATAAATAGAAAGAAAAGAAAAAGGTATATAAAAGAATAAATCTCACTGTTAACAATAGATATAAAGACAAACAATATTGTAATCCTCTAATAATGGCATGGAAATAACTTTTAACCATGGTGTATAAGTAAAAGATAATGACAGTAAGACTCATCATAAGCACAGAACTTTCTAATGGAAATAATATAAAAAGAGGTAAAATCTGACGTCAATTACAGAAAGTGTGTGTGTGGAGAAATAAAACCTAGAGTTTCTGTGTTGGAGCCTAAAACAGACTTGTAAACTACAAAATATTTTATGTGAACCCCGTGGTAATCAGAAAAAAGTACAATAGGATACACAAAATGTCCACCAATGGATGAATAGATTTTAAAAAATGTGAAAAAAACGTGGTATATGTTTCCAGTAGAATATTATTCTGGCTTAAAATAGAATATATATATATATATATACACATATACATATATATGTATATGTATATGTATATAGAATATATACATATAAATATATACACACACAATGGAATATTACTCACTGTAAAAAGAATGAAATCTTGCCATTTGCAACAATGTGGATGGAGCTAGAGTATATTATGCTAAGCAAAATAAGTCAAAAAAGACAAATACCGGGGCGCCTGGGTGGCTTAGTCGGTTAAGCATCCGACTTTCGCTTAGGTCATGATCTCCCGGTTCATGGGTTCGAGCCCCGTGTCGGGCTCTGTGCTGACTGCCACCTCAGAGCCTGGAGCCTGTTTCAGAGTCTGTGACTCCCTCTCTCTCTGACCCTCCCCTGCTCACGCTGTCTCTCTCTCTCTCCCAGAAATAAATAAAACATTAAAAAAAAACTTAAAAAAAAGACAAATACCGTATGATTTCACTCATATGTGGAATTTAAGAAAGAAAGCAGATGAACATAAAGGAAAAAAGAAAAAATAGAGAGGGAGGCAAACCATAAGGGAGTAGAGAACAAATTGAGGGTTGCTGGAGGGGAGATGGGTGGGGAGTGGGCTAAATGGGTGATGGGCATTATGGAGGGCACTTGTGATGAGCACTGGGTGTTACATGTAAGGGATGAATCACTAAATTCTACCCCTGAAGCCAATATTACACTATATGTAAATTAACTAGAATTTAAATAAAAACTTGAAACAAGAAAAGAAATAGCAGGATGGGTGCCTGGGTAGCTCAGTCAGTTGACAGACCGACTCTTTTTTTTTTTTTTTTTTTAATGTTTGGTTTTGAGAGAGAGAGAGAGACAGAATGCGAGCAGGGGAGAGGCAAGAGAGGGGGAAACACAGAATGTGAAGCAGGTTCCAGGCTCTGAGCTGTCAGCACAGAGACCAACCTGAGGTTTGAACTCGTGAACCATGAGATCACGACCTGAGCCAAAGTTGGGTGCTGAACTGACTGAGTCATCCAGGTGCCCCTAAAGTTTTTTTTTTTTTTTTTAATGTTTATTCATTTTGAGAGAGAGAGAGAGAGAGAGAGAGAGAGATTGGAAAAGAGGGAGACGTGGAGGGGCAGAGAGAGAGGGGACAGAACATCTGAAGTAGGCTCTATGCTGATAGCAGTGAGACCAGGTGGCACTTGAACTCATGAACCATGAGATCATGACCTAAGCTGAAGTCAGATACTCAACCGACTGAGCCACTTAGGTACTCTGGATGATAAAGTTTTAAAACTGTTTGTCTACATTATAAACAGGGATGGTACTCTTGAGATTTCTGTTGTTTCAGTTGTTGATTTGTCAGACTTTCCAGGTACAAAGAGTCACTTGTTAAAATTCTCTAAATTTCAGGGGCGCCTGGGTGGCTCAGTTGGTTAAATGTCCAACTACGGCTCAGGTCATGATCTCACAGTTCGTGGGTTCGAGCCCTGTGTCGGGCTCTGTGCTGACGGCTAGCTCAGAGCCTGGAGCCTGCTTCAGATTCTGTGTCTCCCTCTCTCTCTGACCCTCCCCTGCTCATGCTGTCTCTCTCTCGGAAATAAATAAAACATTAAAAATTTAAAAAAAATTCTCTAAATTTCAGAGTATCCTTTCATTTTTTTCTTAATTTTGTTTGTTTTGTCTTTCCACAAATTCTTTTTTTTTTCTTTTCACATTTTTATTTAAATTCTGGTTACCATACAGTGCAATCATGGCTTCAGGAGTAGAATTCAGTGATTCATCAGTTACCTACAACACCCAGGGCTCATCACACCTGTTCTCCTGATACCCAGCACCCATATAGCCAAGCCGCCAGCCCTCTCCCTCCACCAGCCCTCAGTTTGTTCTCTGTATTTAAGAATCTCTTATGGTTTGTTTGCCTCTCTTTCCCCCCACCCCACCCGTATTGTTGCAGGATTCTCGCACAGAGAGTCGTGACACCGAGGCTTTTCTTTCCGGGAAGCAACTTAATTCGTGCCGGCACCGCTCAGTTCGGTTCGTCCCCAAAGAACTGAGCGGCCCACATCACGTGGCATAGGGTTTTTATACATTTTCTATTTCTTTGTCTCCCATATATGGTAACACACATAAACATGCAGTGTGATTAAGTTGTCTCAGTTTGCAAGGCCATAGGGAATGTAGGCACCTAGGCGCATATCTAGGTGGCCTTGAAGTCTTCTCTCCTCTCTTCATTTTTTTTCTCTCTCCTTAGGGAGGGGTTCCTACCACAATATGTTCATCTGTTTTGTTTCTTAAATTCTACGCAAGAGTGAAATCATATGTTTACTGGAACTTCCCATGGCTCCCGTAATCTAACCTGACTCTCTGTTTCTTAGGTTTGGGAGAAAGTTGATTCTCAGGTGCTGTTTATTACAGCTTACCGTCTTTGGGATGAGTGCAGCGTTTGCTCCCAGCTTCCTCATCTACTGCTCACTACGCTTCCTGTCAGGCTGTTGCTCCATCGGCGTCATGACAAACAGTTCTATTCTCCGTAAGTCAACGGTTGTGATCTCCATTTCCCAAGCCTTGAATTTGACCCTGAAATTTCCCCTTTATCTGACGTTACTATCCCAACTGGGTTTTGTTTCAGTCATAGAGTGGATAAGGCCCCAGTCGAAAGTCCTGGCCATAATACTGATAAGCTGTGCCTTAAGCCTGGGACAGGTCCTCTTGGGAGGGCTGGCGTTTGCCTTTCGGGAGTGGCGCACTCTGCAGACGGTGGTGTCCGTACCTTTCTTTGTCTTCTTTCTCTCCTCAAGGTATGGCCCTTCTTTCTCTTTTTGTCTTATGGAAACCTGGGATGAAAATGAAGACTGAATTGGAATATATTGATTTTCTTATTCCCTGGACCTTTTCTTTTTTTAATATTTTTATTTATCTCTAGGAGAGAGAGAGACAGCGTGAGCAGGGGAGGGTCAGAGAGAGAGGGAGATACAGACTCTGAAATAGGCTCCAGGCTCTGAGCTGCCAGTCAGCACAGAGCCCGACGCGGGGCTCGAACCCACGAACCGCGAGATCATGACCTGAGCGAAAGTCGGACGCTCAACCGACTGAGCCACCCAGGCGCCCCGATCCTGGACCTTTTCTTATTGTCTGGGCCTAAAACCCATGTCTCTTATCTGTTCCAACCTGTGCAGTTTGATAAGCAGAGCAGGAAGTAACAATGACCTTTCAGCCTGGGAGTTCTAGGTGTTTCTGTTTGGCCATCTTCAGAAAAATATAGTCTACAAGTCTAGAAAGTATAGTTTATATTAAAGAAAATAATATTGGAATAACTCTATGACCGTGACACTGGGTAAGACTTAACAAAACAAAACAAAACAAAACAAAACAAAACAAAACAAAACAAAACAAAATAAAAACCTAGAACTCCTAGGCTCAGGTTATGATCTCGCGGTTCGTGAGTTCGAACCCTGTGTGGGGCTCTGTGCTGACAGCTCAGAGCCTGGAGCCTGCTTTGGACTCTGTGTCTCCCTCTCTCTCTGCTGTTCTCTCACTACTCTCTCTCTCTCTCAAAAATAAACAGTAAATATTTTTTAAAAATATAGACTCAAATATTTCAAAAAGAAATGCCTTTAATTCTTTTTTGGCTTTGGAATGAAGGAGGTTATGGTAAAATTTTCAGGTTTTAATTTTTGTAGGTGAAATTGGATAAAAGGAAGAAGCAGCAAATTTATTCATGTAGCCGTTTGATAAAAGAGAAACAGTGTTTCTTCAGTACTAAAACCTGGCATGCAGATTGGATGATTTATTTACATCATGTGTTCAGCACTCCCTTTTTGCTTAAATGATTTTAACAAACATTTATTTATGCATAACCTCATCCCTATAGTTAAAACCATCTAAAGGAGAGTCAGATTTAGTTTCTCAGAAAGATGAGCTCAGAGAGAGAGAGGAGGATGTAATCCATGCCAGACTCATCCATTATGTCAATATATCCTCATAATAACCCTAATGGGTACTACTCTACCCATTTTATTGATAAGAAAACTGAGGTGGATGTAAATAAGTAACTGACTTATGTAGTAAGTTACCAACATAGTGGCAGGAATACTTCTTTGTTGGGCTTTAAGCTTATATAATTTGGTGACTTCCTTTTTTTTTTTAAAGACTATATATTATGAGCACAAATTTGATAGAACTCATGCCAAGCTTTGGAAGGGAATTAATGCGTGTGAGGAACTCTCAAGCTTAAGCTCCCTAAGCTTCTTTGAAAGTCTGCTGAGTAAGCAGAGAAGTGAGTTGGCTCTGAAGTCTTTATTCCTAACCATGAAGATGTACTGCAATGAACTGGTCTTTCTCATATTTTCCTAGTATTTATGAAATAAAACTTGAGTTTCTGTTTCTAACTCAACAAGTGGTGGATATTGGGTGGGAGGCAAAAACATCTGTAGTCAATCGTCATAAGACAAATAAGCAAGAGAAAGTTGACTGCACTTGTGTGCTCTTCCTCCTTCAGGTGGCTTGTGGAATCCGCTCGGTGGCTGATTATCAACAATAAACCAGACGAGGGCTTGAAGGAACTTAGAAAAGTTGCACACAGAAACGGAATGAAGAATGCTGGAGAAACCCTGACCATAGAGGTGAGCAGGAGATGGAAGATGATTAGTGGGTTGGAGGGAAGACACAAGTTGACAATGCCTTCTCCTTATTGAGATAGAAAAGCCATTTTCCTAAAAAGGGTAGCCAAGAAGGTGAGCCCAGTTCCCTTCTCTTTTACGGCCACCTCCCAAAGAAGCAGCTTTGAACACTGTGCAACAACCTCTTCCTTAAGTTGGCTTCCTGATCTGAATCTATAATCCATAACTCTCATGGATGGCTTGCCCCTCTCTGTGGCCTCATTTTCAAAATATCATTTTTGCTGCTTCACATCCTGGAGTCCCCTTAACTCTCTACATATTCCTTTGTATCCCTTTCACGCCTGTGATTGCATGAAGTTACGCTGGAAAGAAAGGGAGCATAGCTCTCTTGTCCTATTGGATGTGGTCGCTCATCACAATGTCTGGCACTATGTGGGCAAATGATACATGTTTGTTGCTGTTTAAGGCTTTAAGATCTATCATGAAAGATGAGCTGGAGGCAGCACAGACCAAAACTACTGAGTGTGACTTGTTCTGCACCCCCGGCCTGCGTAAGATAAACTGTCTTCTGCTATTTGTGAGGTGGGCTTCTCATAGTGCATGACAACGTTAGAAATGTGGGGACATGAATCAATTTATTTCAAAGGTTATAAACAGTGGTGTGTGTGTGTGTGTGTGTGTGTGTGTGTGTGTTGATTTGGAGATAAAAGATGGCGAAAACATACCAAGCATTGCAGCGCTTAGAGACGGGCAAAGGGTTATAAAAAGACTTGCACGGAACTGACTATATGATGAGTTAATTGTGTTGTGTTCCTCCACAATCTCATCACTGGAGATGGATGGTGATGACTTCCAACCACAGTACAGATTTTGACACGTAGTTTCCTTCGTTTTTTTCCAATTTTAATTGAAGACCATGTTACCAATAGTAATGCAAAGAGATCATGAATACATACAGCTCGATAAACAGTTCAATGTGTAAAAATGTAACCAACGCCCAGATCAAGATAGAAAATCCCACTTCCCCAAAAGGTCCCTTCATAGATCACCTACACTGAGAATCATCATCACACTGGCTCACCCTCATTCCCTCCTCAGGGTCCACTCGCACACCAAATAAAACTTACCAACTTACCATCACCACAGAGGAGTGTTGCTTAGTCTTGACTTGCACATATTGTAAATGATAAACTGGTTTTGTGGCAGACCCCTTTCTTCAAGTATATTTATGCCAGATTCATCCATTTTGTCCCAGGTAGCAGTAGGTGGCTATAATCCCTAATGTCTCAGTTTTCCATTAGATGAACATACTACAATTTCTTTATGTACTTTGATATTGCTGGGCTTGTATTTGTTTCCAAGTTGGGGCATTGGCAGTAGGACTTCTCCAGAAAATCTTTTACATTATCTCTTGAGGGATATAAGTCTTTACTTTGGTAGGGTTGGGGGGATTTTAACTATAATTCCGACTTTTTTCAAGATTTACCCCCCCCCCCCACACAAAAGGCATATGGGATGATACATTATATATCCACTGCCAAGCTTAAGAAAGTAACTATTGAATTTTACCATTTACTTCTTCCGAGGCATACCCAAGGAGACTGTGACTTCATCTTTTTATTTATTTATTTATTTTTTAAATTTTTTAATGTTTTTTTTTTTTTTAAATTTATTTCTAGGAGAGAGAGAGAGACAGCGTGAGCAGGGGAGGGTCAGAGAGAGAGGGAGTCACAGACTCTGAAACAGGCTCCAGGCTCTGAGCTGGCAGTCAGCACAGAGCCCGACGCGGGGCTCAAACCCACGAACCGCGAGATCATGACCTAAGTGGAAGTTGGACGCTTAACCGACTAAGCCACCCAGGCTCCCTGACTGTGTCTTCATCTTATTGGACTGTGCTTTTACACTTTTCTCCTATCAACTAGGCTACAGGCTCAAGTTTCTGAGTCCTAAACAATCTGATTGGAAACAACAGTAGAGATAATTGTCAAGAAAGGACTTAACTTGCATAGAATTGCTGTGATTTGTGTGTGATTCTTGGGCTGTAATGTCTAAAACTAGCTCTCTCTGGGTATAGCAGATCATTAAACTGGACTCCTGTCTCTTTGATGCTTTCTGAGTAAATTGTAGATCCCCAGTAGGAACCTTTAATTATATTTCCTGTGGCACAGGTGGTGCATGTTTGCTGGAATTCTGACATTTTTCCTTAGCACTAGGAAATCATATGTGAACCTTAAATTCCCTAGAACTGTGTCAGAACCTAGGATACTGCACCCTCAGATAAATCACTGGTTGACTAAAAGGAAAGTTCTTCACGGTATTGGGGTTGAAGGAGGATAGGGAGGACTCATAGCACACTGATAACCCTCATAAAAGAAATTCTGCCCCCCATCCCAGGTTTTAATCTTTCTGTATGTCATCCAGTCTGGTGGCTGGGTCAAGCTATGTTTCCCAGTCATCGCCAACTCTTTGCTTAGGGCGTCAGACTAAAGAACAACAGAAGAATATCATTTTTATACATTGCCAGGCAATTACTTATGCTAACTTTAATATTATCACCTTAAAACAACGTATTATGCACATCAGACTGGGCCTTTATTCTTTAATTCTGACCACTAGCTGTCTGGGTTAATATAGTCATTAACTGCAGCACATAGGCTTTAAATCTTACGGCATGTGTCTTTCCTCTTTTGTTCACTACAGATTTGCAAACACAATCCCCTTTTATGGCATCGTTTTGAATCTACAGCACTTTGGGAGCAATATTTTCCTGTTCCAGATAGTCTTTGGAGCTCTCACTGCCTTGGTCCGATGTCTTCCTCTTTTAGTACTGAATTATATGGGCCGTCGAACAACCCAGACACTTTTCATGGTCCTCACAGGACTTCTTATTTTGGCCAACACCTTTGTGCCCCAAGGTGAGAGAAGGCTGGACTTTGGGGGAAAGCAGTGTCTTTGGGGATTGCATTGGTCACACTTGTCTGAAGCCAGGAGTAAAAAGAGGTGTCAATTGAGAGCTAAGTATTCCCCTAAACCAATCTGAGGGTTCAAAGAAAACCCTTCTAGGAAGTTGTTGGGAAGGGAATCAAAGGGCCACAAAGGGCAGCTCAGGCATATATTTATCTTTATCACATCCTAGAAGTATCTAGAAACTGGTGCCATTTATTTCTGACAGCTTCTCTAGGATGGCAATTGATCACATGCCCTTTGACCTTTCATGCTTTTAGTAACCAGCATGAAGGGCCTAGACCTTGCAAGTGTATCCCACGTGACAACACAATGTGCTCACAGGCTCTGCCTGGGCTTTTCATTGTCAGCTTTGATGACTAGCCTACTTCCTGATTGGTATGTATCCATGTGTGAATGTGGTGATAGTCACCATTACAACTGCCCTTGCTTCTGGGAGTCTTCTTGACTTCCAGAAAGTGAAAATTTTCCCTTTTTTTTCAAGTAGCAAAGGAGTGTACCACAGGAACAAGGAATTAAGCAGATTAAAAGCCTAGTCCATTCCCTGTTAGATGACTTTGTAAGTTAATAGGATGATGGTCTGTAATGACCGGAAGAACCTTGTGGGCACTACACTTCAGCAATGTCCCAATGCAGCTATGTCCCAATATGCTTTACAGCATTACAGATTGGTAGACTCTCCTCCTCACAATATCATTAATGATGCAAGCTTACTCCCTTACAGTAGAGTATTTTCCAGCATTATAAAGCTATAATTAGATTTCTTTTTGTATTGGGCAGAAGACTGATTATCTGAAACCTCTCTTTATTGGTTCCTGAATTCTGACATTTTTTCCCAAATAGAAGTTTCCATTCTTGGTTTGTTATGTCTATCATTCTTGTAGATATGGCTTCTCCTCAGCCTGTCCATTAACAGAATAGCCCTGTCCTTTACTATTCTATTATGCCATACCCACCCCATGACAATTTGGCATCTATACAAGATTGACTGACTCATTCAGGCTTACCTGGGACTTTCCTGGTTTTATCAGTGAAAATATCTTTTACTAAACCCCCCTAATTCTCAGAAAAACCAGGATGACTGGTCACTTTAAATTCTGCACTTTAGTTGTAAGGTTTAGACGACTGTAGAGCTGTCAAGTTTAGAGCTGGGTCTTAGACTCAATTAATTGTCTATATGACTGTCTCATCTTCTACAATAGAGATATAGTACTGGACAGAATAAGTAACAGCAAATTTCTGCCAGACTCACCTCTTCTTCTCCTTCTTTGACAAGTCTCAGATATGCAGGGAGATTTGTTGCAATTTGTCCAGATACTTTTATGTGCTTTTTACTACCTATGTTGAAAATTCTACATTTCTCAGCTTATTAACCACTCCATGCCCTCTAACACTGTAAAATTTCTACAACACATCTCAAACAAACCAGTAACCTACAAGATCTTTTTTTCTGCCTAGATTTGGTGGATGCTGATTCCTTCAGCCCAGATTTCTTAGTCTTACTGGTCTTTCTGTCTCCAGAAATGCAGACCCTGCGTGTGGCTTTGGCAAGTGTAGGAATCGGCTTGGCTGCTGCTTCTTTCACTTCTTTCTCTGTCTACTTTTGTGAGATCGTCCCCACAGTCTTCAGGTATGACTTTACGGATGTTCTGCTGGGGCATAGTATGGGATATTTTCAGCTAATTGGCACTTATTGCGGGAATAAACAAAATAAGACTTGTTTATTACAAAAGCAATCCTTTGTCATTGGGACAGCAATAATATGCTAACAACATTTATAGCCAAAGTTTATTGAAAGCTGACTTTGTGCCAGGCACTGTGCTGAGTAGAACTTGAACGCATCATCTCATTTATCTTCTGAACAACTCTTCAGGGTACATGCATCTTGCATAAAATTATGAAAATGAGCCTCGATACACTTTGAACCTGACAAAGACAGCTAGACAATCATAGAACAGGTCTCAAAAACAAGTGTTTGTCCTAAAAGCCCAGTATTTAACAATTGTGTTCTAGCATCTTTCATTATCAAGTCAAAGGAATGGATCACAAAATCCATGTGCAGATTTTTTACCAGATGCTGAGGTATTGTTGTTTATCCCTCAGGGCAAGAATGTTAGGATTTGAAACACTGGCCAGTAGGGTTGGGGCCACACTGGCTCCCCTCTTGATGATCCTACAAGCATATGTTTCCACTTTGCCCTGGATCACCTATGGAGCCTTTCCCATCACTGCTGGTCTTGCTGTCCTCTTCCTACCTGAAACCAAGGGTCTGCCTCTGCTTGACACCATCCAAGACCTGCAAAATATGTAAGTAAACTTTCTAGCCATCTTCTGGGAGAAACGGAGTGCCCAGGGCTGTGGGTGAGGAAGGCAAAACACCACGTAAGTCCCTCAGATCACTGAGAAGTTTCAGTCTCGCCTGTGATACTTCCATCTCGGGCCACTGCCTTTCATTGGTTGCAGGGTCACCTCTGTCTCCTGTGAGTTCCAACCTAGTTTTCAAAAATCCCTTCATGCCCAGATCTCATTGGTAGTGGTGAAGAGATAAAAATTAGCTCTGTCACATATAGGAGGATTAGGAGGAACTTAACGGAGGACCATGGCGGAGAGAAGGGGAAAAATAGTTGAAGAGAGGGAGGGAGGCAAACCATGAGAGACTCTTGAATGTTGAGAACAAACTGAGGGCTGATGGAGGTGGGGGAGAGGGGAAGGGGGGTGATGGGCATGGAGGAGGACACTTGTGGGGATGAGCACTGGGTGTTGTATGGAAACCAACTTGACAATAAACTATTAAAAACAAATAAATTTAAGAAAATTAGCTCTGTTGTACTGACACAGACTACTTGTCCTCATAAGAGGCGCACGTTCATGATGGCAGTATTTCATGATTATCAGATCCATAAGAGCCTCAGATATGAAGGGGGAAAGAAATGAAATGGCCAGTAAAGGAATAATGTTAGAAAAATCACATGGAATTAAAGATTCTTTGAGAAAATAATAAAGGAAAGAAATCTTGTTTCGGTGCCTGTGATAGTCAGACAATTTTGCTGCCACAAGTAATGGAAAGACTGAGGATAGAGAGAATAAGAAACTAGCAAAGTCCTTTAAATGAGAAAAATGATGTATTCATTTCCTAGGGCTTCCATAATTAAGTTCCACAAACTGAGTGAGTTAAATAGCAGAAATTTATTTCCTCACAGTTCTTGGGACTGGGATTCTGAGCTCAAGTGTCAGCAGGACCACACTCCCTCTGAAGGCCTCAGGGAAGTGTCTGTTCCAGGCTCCTCTTCCAGCTTCTGGCATATCTTTGGCTTGTGGCAATACAATTCTAATCTTCACATGGCATTCCGCCAGACATACCTCTGTGTCGAAATTTCCCCTTTTGTAAGGCTACCAGTCATATTGTTTAGGGGCCCATCCTACTCCAGCACGACCTCATCTTGCTTATTATATATTTAACAACTATATCTGAATGTGGTAATTTCGCATTCTGAGATACTGAAAGTTAAAACATCAACATACAAATTTTGGAGGACAGTGGGGAAACAGTTCAACCTAAAACAAATGGGAAGTTCCCTTATGATTTTCAGTCCACCTCTTGACTCTCCAAATGTGTCATTGGCCAGAGGTCTGAAAAGATCAATTGAAAGGAGCAAATTAAAAAAAAAATTTTTTTAATGTTTATTTATTTTTGAAAGAGAGAGAGAAACAGAGTACAAGCAGAAGAGAGGCAGAGAGACAGAGACAGAGACAGAGACAGACAGAATCTGAAGCAGGCTCCAGGCTCTGAGCTGTCAGCACACAGCTTCATGTGGGTCTCAAATTCACGGACCATGAGATCCTGACCTGAGCTGAAGTTGGACGCTTAACTGACCAAGCCACCCAGGCACCTCAAATTCTCTTCAAATTGCCTCCTTGGGTCTTATTGCAGGAGTTTCTTGGATCTGCACAGGCACTAGGGCCTTTCCTAACATTAATATTAATGTCTCATGAATTTTATTGGATTATGGAAATCTGATGGTTGGAGGATCTGTTTGTACTTTGTGCACAGAAAGCACAAAAATTTATTTTTATCTCTTTTGGCTTTTTAATATTTGTTTTTGTTTGTTGATTGGTTGGTTGATTGGTTGCTTCTGTTTTGTTTTTCCAGCAAAGAACTCTCAAGAAAAGTAAATGAAATAAATACCCACATAAAAGTGACCAAAGTTTAAGGAGTTTTCATGAGCTGACTGCTGAGGAAAGAAAAATATGAAAATAAAATAAAGTACAGAAATTTCCTTTTATATCTACAAAATAGCAAGAAAATAGCAAGAAAAATGAATCTCATTTACATTTATTGCATTAATTTGTAGTTAAAGAAATAATTGGTGGGAATATGTAATTCTATGAACAATCTAATATTTTTAGAAAGTAATTGAAAGTATCAAATTTGTTGGTAAATTATTAATAGATGAGATGATTCACAAACAAAGGAAATCCATGGAATTAACATGTAACTGGCTGAGAGAGAGAAAAGGGATTAAAAGGGTAATGGGTATTAAGGAGGGCACTTGCTGTGATGAGCACGAGGTGTTGTATGTAAGTGTTGAATCACTATATTGTCCACCTAAAACTAACATTACACTGTATGTTAACTAATGGGAATTTAAATAAAAACATGAAAGAAAAAAAAAGCAAATAAGGCAGAAAATTTATTTGAAAAAATAATAGCTGAAAACTTCCTGAATCTGGAGAAGGAAACATATCTAGATCCTAGAGGCACAGAGTTTCTCTCCAGAATTCAAGAAGGTCCATACCAACATACCTACTAATTAAAATGGCAAAAAGCAGTGATAAAGAAAAAAATTTAAATCAGCAAGACAAAAGAAGACAGTTACATTCAAGGAAAACCCCATCAGGCTATAAGCAGATTTTTCAGCGGAAACTTTGGAGGCCAGAAGTGAATGGCATGCTATATTCAAAGTGCTGAAAGGGAAAAATCTGCAGCCAAGAATATTCTATCGAGCAAGGCTGTAAATCAGAATAGAAGGAGAGATATAGAGGTTCCCAGACAAACAAAAACTAAAGGAATTCATGACCTCCAAGCCAGCCCTGCAAAAAATATTAAAGGACACTCTAAGTGGAAGGGAAAGACCATAAGTGAGATTGTGAAAAATAAAAAACACAAAAGCAGTAAAAATAAGTACTTCTAAAAAAATCAGTCAAAAGATTCATAAAATAAAAGATTGTAAAATATGACAGGATATATCTAAAATGTGGGAGGGGGGAGGAGTAAATATGGGTTCAAATTTAAGCAACCAGCAACTGAATATAGACTGCTGTATGCAGGAAATGTTATATACAAACCTAATGGTAACCACCAATTGATAAATATGCAAAGAATGAAGGGAGTGGAATTCAAGTATATCACTAAAGAAAGCCAACAAACCATGAAAGAGAGCAAGAGAAGAAAGGATTAGAGAAAATCTATAGAAACAGCTGCAAAACAAGTTAAAAATGGCAATAAATGCACATTTATCAATAATTACTTTGGATGTAAATGGACTAAATGCTCTGATCAAAAAACATAGGGTAGGGAGAGGTCAGGATGGTGGAAGGTTTTTTTTTTTTTTTTTTTTTTGCCTCTCTCGACTCTGAAATGCAGCTAGAAAAACACCAAATTGTTTTTGCACACCTAGAAAACTGATTTGAGGATTAACACAACAATCTGTACAACTTGAACCACAGAACTTGGCAGGTACATGGTGTGGAAAAGTGAACTGGGGAAGAGAGAAGCCACAGAAGGTAGGGAGCTGTTTTTGTTTGCAGAGAGAGGATGGAGACAGGGGCGGAAGTATAGGAAAATCAGGAGCAGCTGGAGAGAAAGAGAAAGAGTGTAAACACCTGCAAGGGGCTGAACAAAAAAAGACAGAAAGGAGAAAGGAGAGAGTTTAAATTCCATCAAGAGTCTATAAACAGGGGAGCACAGAGTCTGAAACTCTGCAGCTCGACACCTGGTGGAGCTCTGGTGGGAAGGACGAATCTCCAGGAGCAGACAGTGAGGTCTGAGGGGTCCTCAGGCCACACAGGGAGAGGTGGTTCCCCTGCTGGGAGAACATTTGACAGAGGCTGTGCAGCCTCCCTGCAGGTAAAGGTCCCAGCAGACCCCAGAGAACAGCCACATTTGCTGGTGTTAGAACAAGGATGTTAAGGATGAAGCCTGGCACAGATGTGTGTTGTTATTTATCATAATCCCTAAAATGCTGCTGTTACACGATTGCAAAAACTTTTTCTGGGGCGGGCTGGCACCTGGCTGCAGTCTCTGGGCATCTGCAGCAGCATGGTCGCGTGAACTTCCTGGGGGTGGGCTGGCACCCAACCATTGCTCAGTGAGACCCTCCCCCAGAGGGTCTGAACAGGTCAGGGCACAGTCCCTCAGAAGTGAGGGAAACACAGCCCTGTGAGAGATAAAACTCGGGAGGGAGCTGCTGCCTGGCAGGCTGATGGCTTGGTCATGGACAGTGTAGAAGCAGGGAGTGGATGGAAGCTGGAGACAAAGGAGTGGTGCTTGATTGCCAGTTGAGAAGAGCACAGAGTTCTGATACTAGAGACTGGGTAGATGGGTGACACCATTTTCACCTCTTTCCCGCATGCATATATGTACCTACATGCACCATCACGATTCACCCCAGTAAACTAAACAGCGCCATCTAGTGAAGAATGGAGCTATTACACCAAGTTCCATGCAACTGAGCTCTAGAGAAACACAAGTCTCTCTGCCTACTTAGTTTACAGACTATAGAGTGCTTCATAGTTTGACTTCTAGGGAAAACTGGATGTAATTTCAATCGTATTTCATTTTGTTCTCTGGTCCATCTATTCAGTTGTTTTTCTTTTTCTTTTCTTATTCTTGAATACAGAAAGAGAAAAAAATTATTTTTATTTTCCGTTTTTATAAAAAGATTTTTCTTTAAAAAATTTCTGCTATATTTTTTACTTTTTTGTAAATTTACAAAATTCTATTTTATTTTAATTATTTTATTTTATTCTATTTTAACGTATTCCTTTGTTAAAATTTTCAAACATTTTCCCTTTTTTTTCTTTTCTTTCCTTTTTTTCTCTATTCTATCAAGCTACTTTCAACAATCAGACCGAAACACACCTAGGATCTAGCATCGTTTATTTGATTCTTTGTGTTGTTTTTAATTTTTAAATTTATTTTATTTTATTAATTCCTTTTCTTCCTTCAAATGGTGAAGAAATTCACCCCAAAAGAAAAAAACAGGAAGAAATGACAGCCAGAGACTTAATCAACACAGATATAAGCAAGAT